CTCTCTCTCTCTCTCTCTTTCTCTCTCTCTCTCTCTCTCTCTCTCTCTCTCTCTCTCTCTCTCTCTCTCTATCTATCTATCTATCTATCTATCTCCTGCCATGTCCGTTGATGCGCCTCTCGCTCGGGTGGGTGCAGTGCGGCCGTGCGGTGGTGGTCGTGTTCAACAAGACGCTTGTCATCGGATTTTGGACGGACGTCCTTGGGGGTCATGGTTATTTTCTTTCCCTGTGAGGTGGGAGAAAGCATTTGCTTTTTTTTTTTTTTTTTGTGGCCTGCAGGGCATTTGTCAATCGCGATGGCCACGTCGGAGTTGATTATCCTGGGTGATTGGTGTGAGCGCATGCCATATATTTTTCCCCCATGCGCGTTGCGTGTCTCAGGCAGTGGAAACTCTACTGTTATTGACGGTGCGACAAGAGACGAGATGGAGTGTGATCCTTGGATTAAGGTCCCCCCTTTCACTGATGCTCCCCTGGACTCGTGGAAAGAGCATGAATGGGACAAAATGCTTAGTGAGTGTCCGTGGGCGGACGACTACAAGTTCGCTAACATGTGCGAGTTTGGGAGTTTCGTTTCCGTGCCTAGAGTTTTGCTAGGTTCAGTTCGGTGCCGTTGCTTGAGTGCAAAGCTGAATATTCCTTGTCATCAAAATGTGTTGGCCTGCAGTGTCGTGACTGCTTCGCCTCGCACATGGTCCCGTGCGCTGAAACACGAGTTGCTTGCTTGTGCATGACATTCTGAGTTCCTCGATCAGTACCCGTTGCGCTCTCCAGGGTTGTTGCCTCGAGCAGTTTCCTTTTGCTACGTTAGATTGCATCTTGGAAAGTTATACTAATCTAGGGTCCTTTGCGTCGCGTGTTCGAATCGGAATAGGACCTTGACTGACGCTGTGGTTTACGTGTCCAGGAATGAGTTGCACCTCGGGAGAGACAGGATCGGTTTGGTCACAATAGAATACGAAGGGATATGGGATTTGGTAATCGGGGGTAAGGTGGACGATGTGGATGCTTGGCGTGAGGTTGAAGCTCAAGCGTCCTCTATACGGGATGTTATAGGCACGTCTCTGGCCGGAAGGACCGGGTTCGTCGCATGAAATATATTTCTATGTTCGCGGAAGATGCTCCAGTTGATGCGCCGCAGTGTCTTACGTTCGGGTCGCCTGTTCGAACTTTGAATGAACGCGGCCTGTCGTCATCGGTAGAAGTGAAAGTTCTGAACGGATGTTACACGCCGATTTCCTTATACAAAAACACACATGAGCTCATGGTGTGCGCACCTATCTCTCCATCTAAGTGCGAGTTCACTCGCACTTGTTGTGTGCACCCCGAGCATTCCGCTTCAGTGGTGTGACCATCTGGCTCTCCATCTAATTGCGAGTTCACTCGCACTTGTGCTCTGAACCTCGAGCAATCCGCTTGAGTAAATGTCTTAACGACTACGTGTGGGCGTGGCAACGACAGTTCCCGTTGGCCAACTATGTTCAAGAGTGTCAACGTGCCCATGTGTATCGTTTGGTATGTGCACGTGGTGTGTAGGGTGCGTAATGGAGGCGACCTTTTCGACACCACGAATCATGGATTCGATCTTCTCGACACCACGAATCATGGAGTCGATCTTCTCGACACCACAGACCATGAGACCCAAGACGCATATTCGCTTGGCAAAACCGTTTCCTCCTTACGCGAGATCCGTGCGGTATTTTGACGGTGTAACTACGATCCACGGAGCGACCGCAGAGGACTTCGACGAGGACCCCTGGATGACCGTCGTCCCGTGCATGGACGGACATATTGACGGTTGGTACGATGGGAATTGGGCCACGATGGAGAGTCGTTGCCCTTGGGCAAGCCAGTACAAGTTCGCCAACATGTTGGAGTTCGAGAACCTCATCCCGCAGCCTGACGCTGTCCCCAGACACAAGTTCCTTAACCATATGCGCAGAGCACTGGGCTGCATTAGCTGCCATTTCAGCCGCCTCGAGTGCCACTACGTCAGGTCGTCGGCACGTACTTGGGGAGGCTCGCGGAAACAAAAGTTGGTGGATTGCGCTCGTCACTGCTCGTTCCTGGAGCAGTACCCACTCCGGTGCCCCGGGAATTCGCCACAAGCTGTGTCATACAGTTGTGTGCGATTGACTGTATCCGGGTCTGATTTCGCCCGAGTTCTATGTGTCTCTGCTTCGAACAAGAGCAGGAAACTCGTCGATGCAGTTGTCCTTTTGTCACGCAATGAGGTGGTAATTGAGGGGTCCAAATTCGTGTCGACGCACGGGCCTGCACGTCTAGATGGGTGGCGAGATTTGGTGATAGCAGGGCGGGTCCAAAACTTTTCGTTGTCTCGTGAGGTTGAGGAGAAAGTGTCTGACATACGGGACTGTATAGGGAATTCCTTAGCACGACCGGGAGTGTTTGTCAGGATGAAATACATATCCCTCTTTTCGGAGAGTGCATCAGTCGACGAACCGCAGATCCGCGTGTACGTGCTTCGGTACACAACCTCGTCCACGGGAAACCCCGAATGTCACTGGATTTGGACGTGTGGTCAGACTTAAGTGAGAGTTCACTCGCACTTTGCTTAAGTGAGAGTTCACTCGCACGTAAGTGAGAGTTCACTCGCACCTTGATTAAGTGAGGAGCTTGTCGATATATTGTGCGGGCAGCGGGGCGTGACGATTGAGTGTTGCCCCCACCAAAGGACTAATCATTGGCCAACTTTATTTACGACGGTCTACACGTTCGTATGTGTCGATTGTGTGTTCGTGATGTGTAGGGAGCGTGATGTCATCGAGACCTTCGACAAGCGTTAGCATGAGTCCCGAGACGCACATGCGCTTAAGTCCCGAGAAGCACATGCGCTTAGCAAGACCGTTTTCACCTTGTGCGAGATCGGAGCGGCATCATGACGGTCAAACGTGGATCGACGAAGCAGTCAAGGAGGACTTCGATGAGGACCCATGGATGACCGTCGTCCCGTACATGAACCGGCATCTTGACGAATGGAACGATAATGATTGGAAGGCGATGGAGCGTGCCTGCCCTTGGGCAAGCAATTACAAGTTTGCCAACATGTTAGAGTTCGGGAGCCTCATTGCACTGCCTGACGGTGTCCTCCAGCGAAAGACTCTAGACAATAAGGGTAAACCGATCCGCTACCGTACCAGCTTCAGAAGTCGCCTCGGCTGTGAGTACATCACATCTTCGCCACGAACTTGGGGAAGTTCGCAGAAGCAAGAGTTGGTGGACTGGGCTCGTCATTGTTCATTCTTGGAACACTACCTACCCCGTTGCCCCGGGACTTCTCCACAAGCTATATCATATTGTTGTGTGCGGTTGACTGATGACGGGTCTCCTTTCGCGAGAGTGCTATGTGTGGCTTCTTCAAACAAAAGTAGAAAACTCGTGGATGTAGTTGTGCTCGTGGCATGGAACGAGATGGTACTTCAGGGATCCAAGTTCAAGCCCGTGATGTCTCGCCCCGATGTAGATGGACGGTCAGATTTCGTGAGAGAAGGTCGGGTCAGATGTTTATCATTGTGGCATGAGGTGGAAGAGAAAGTGTCCGACATACGAGACTGTACAAGGAATTCCTTAGCACGATCAGGAGGGTTTGTCAGGATGAAATACATGTCCGTGTTTTTGGAGAATGCAACTGTCCACGAACCGCAGAGCCATGTATATGGATCATCTATGAATGCCATGTATGGTTTCGGTTCACGACCTCATCCGCGAGAAACCCCGTATGTCACAAGATACGGACGTGTGGTCTGACCTTGTGTTTAAGGGAAAACATGTTAAAATACAATCTTGTGGAACATGATGTGCATGTGCATGTGCATGTGCACCTTGAAATGGTGGATATTGCAACTATTGCCTCTCGCACCTCTATCTACTACTTCATACACGTTGCCTCTTGCACCTATTGCAACTATTTCCTCTCGCACCCTCTATCTACTACTTATTTTTTGCTTCGAATGTTTTTCCGGAAACAACCCCTGTTTACTTTGCAATGTGCGGTTAAGTGATTTGAACATTTCTCGCAACTCTGCATGCGGTGTTTCCATCTACGAAGGTGCAATGTTAGGAAAAGATTATACAAGTTGCAAGTTTTTCCATCTCCACGTTGTGGTGACAAGAGTGAATGTTCTGAATGGATGTTATGTATCTTGTCCATGCAAAGAAATGACACGCCGATGACCTTGCAAGTGTTTCGATCTCCGATGTTCATGCCAATGTCTTACAGTCCTATACATGCTCATGTCAAGGAGGGAATCGATGTTTGCGGTGACAAGAGTGAATGTTAGGAATCTATGTTATTGATTTGTCCATGCAAATGACAAGCCAGCATCCGTATTGTATCACCGCACTGATGGTGTGCGTTCATGTTGTCCATCTAAATGAGGGTTCACTCCGACTTGTGGTGTGTACCCCAAGCAATCTGCTAGTTGTCCATGCAAATGCCCAAGAACTGATAACCTACGGGATCTGGAGTTCAAATTTGTTTATTGAGTGCGAAACTCTGCTCGAAACAGATCCAAATCCAACAGGAAGTCCCACCACAGACCAAGGTTCCCTTAGAGTGCGTGGTCATCCGCCCAGATAGCCAACGACTATTTGACACTTGTTAAATGTGGTTAGTCACAGAATCGATATCTGCGAATTGATTCGCTGTTCAACTAGTATCTTTCAATGTCTTTCCAGGTTAAAGCAAGGAGCTCTCTCTCTCTTTCTCTCTCTCTCTCTCTCTCTCTCTCTCTATCTATCTATCTATCTATCTATCTATCTATCTATCTGCGAATTGATTCGTTGTTCAACTAGTATCTGTCAATGCCTTTCCAGGTTAAAGCAAGGAGCTCTCTTTCTCTCTCTCTCTCTCTCTCTCTCTCTCTCTCTCTCTCTCTC